GGGTTTAGGGTTTAGGGTCTAGTGCAACCTGTAAATCCTCAAGTCCGTCGCGCTCATTTTCTTCGCTCTGCAGATGTGACGGGGGCTTCGGCTTCTGCGGAATCAACCTCCGGCAGAAGGACGGACGGGCAACGAGGGCCCAGTATCCCTTTATTAGGACTAGAGCGTAAATCTTAATATGAAGTCCCTTCTAATTAAAGGTATATTAGTATATTCCTGAATTAAGGGGTACTGGGCTCGGGGTATGGATGGTTATAGAATGCAAATTGAGTTATTGGGGTTTAGGACGGCCTTGCAGTAGCCAGGCATCAAAGATGGACAGCACTTCTGCTCCCAAAACCAAGCTTGAGCTGCTTATCGTGAATTCGGGTGAAGGAGTTTCTGTGGGCATAGAACTGACTCTAAACCCCCCGGCCCACAATCAATATGACAGGAGCTTCTCGGCTGGAAGGGAACCCCTTACAAAACAGCCTCCTGATGGGTTCTTAGTCCTCAGGCAATGCATGTGAGCTTTATTTCATTCCCAAAATTTTGTCTGCTGCGGCAAGGTCGGCAAGGAACTGGGGTAAACCCCAAACCCTAAACCCCTTAAACCCCTAGACCCTAAACCTAGATTGAAAAACCAAAGGGTCTAGGGTTTAGGGTTTACAGCAGCCATTGAAAAGAAAAACAAGTTGCGCCCGAGCCGCTTCCATCGATGCTCGCCAGGCTGCATCTTTGAGCAGAGGCCCAGTCTCTCCTGGATTTCAATCGGTTTAGGGGTTTAGGGTCTAGGGTTGCGGTCTAGGGTTTAGGGTTGCCAAAACGTGAACCGAAACCCTTGTCACAAATCCTGCCAAGCACAGCATCCAGCTCTGCAAGCGGCAGACATGAATTCCTCCGGCGGCTGTATTTTGAGGTTACTAAAGTAATGGGGCCTTAATAATTAGAATCGGGTTTCGGGGCGCATTATACTATAATGATAATAAGGAGCCCCAAGGAATAGTATAGGTAATTATTGAAGCTTCTATATTAAGGGTTGCTTTAAGGGTTCTTTAAGACATGTACTCGAAACTCCGGCCCTGAACTCGAAGTCTGCCCACTTGGCCTGGCCAGTGGGTCCGATCACGGTGAGCCTGCCGGTGTGACCAGTTTTCGGAACACTATGTATTGCTTAGGGCTTCCGGGTTTAGGGTTTAGCTGCCTACCTACCTACCTCTACCTCCCCACCTCCCATCTGGCTGTCTGGCTCTCAGTCTGTCTGTGAGTCACTCTGTCTGTTTTTCTGTCTATCCATCCATCTATCTGTGCACGAATAATAAAGTAATAATGTATGTGCACTATGTATGCATGCCTGTCTATCTGTAGAAACCCAGAACAAGTAGTACATACACGCGGAGCAACTTTCATGTCTTTCATATAGATGCAACCACAAACTCCCTTGTGTTGGAGTTGAAGGACGGTGGACTCCGTTAAGCTTCAGAGGCAGCCCTGCAAATGTTTCATCTCTTCGTTCGCCATCGTTCCCAAGTTCTTTCACGCTTGACATTGAGCCCGCCCCATGCTCTTCCACTTCGAGAGGCATCTAGCCTCACATCTCCCGAACAAGCAGCACGGTACCACTCGGCTGTTCACAAGCGGGATAGGTTGCAGTTGCTTGGAAGGCTCGGTACATATCAACAGCCTCTCGTGCCACGAACCAGGTCTGATTTTTGTCATCGCAATCTAAACCCTAAATTCAGCTTGACTTGAATGATACGGTGTACCCAAATCTTTTTTCCGAGTAGGTACCTCCTAGAAAACCAGCTCCCCGATTCGACCTTCAGCCCTTCGCCGTGTTGCAGCATCTAGGGGACTTAAACTAGGGCTAGGGTTTAAGGTTTTGGGGTTTAGGACTCAGGGTGTAGGGTTTTTGTCCTCAGGAATAGTCTTACAAATTAGTCGGGCCCCTATAGGAATGTTCTGCAGCCCTGCCACAGCTTGGCCGAGGAGTAGCTCTCCAGATGATACTCCCCATCTCCTCCTGAAGCCAGGCATGCAAGTGCCTAAAACTTAAACTCTGAACCCTAGATCCCAAAACAACCCAAAACCCTGAGAAATTCAAGATCTACACACCCTAAACTCTGAACCGTAGATCCTAAAAGCCCGAAACCCTGAGAGGTTCAAACTGTGCGGCTCAACCTTCAACCCCTAAACCCTAAACCCTTAAACGCAGCCCATGCTTAGTTTCGGAGTTTGGGGGGCTTCCGTCGATCTGGTGCAAATCGAAAGCATCCTGGAACTTATAGGAATTGAAGGCAGCTTAGTATGTAGGGCTTAGGGTATAATCGCAAGGTTTAGGGGTTGAGGGGCTTTCGTCTGCTTTCAAGGGTTTCTGGCTTCAGGTTTATCTGTTCTGGCATGTCATGTCTCGAGCAGGGCTTTAGGGCACATGGTGTGAGGGAAAGACTGAGGGTTGTGAGCATCAGGGGGTGGTTCCGGACTCAGGATGCTGATGATGAGCTTTCAGGTTCTTTACATTCGCGATGCGGAGGATGAGCATCTCCATAGACGGCTTGAAGGGGGCCTGTTTGCTACAGTGTAGGGGTCGAGATGAATTCGCGATCCAGTGCTCAAGAACAGGAAAGGGGTGTCGCGGCTTCGAGTTACGTCCTGAAGTTCTGGGCCTCACGTCACCGACATGGACAAAAGAAAAATAAAAATTCCAGCGGTGGCAGGTTCTATCATTGTTGTCTGATGTGTCGCCGTTCTTCCTTTGCAATTGCTCTCAGAACTCATCGCAGGCCAGTCGCTCAAGAACAACGTCCAGTACTGCTCATCAATGTCGTCGTCACCTTGGTGGCGATCAGCTCTCGACCTAGACTCAGAAAGATCTGCAGAAAATAACCTGAAAGTCATGATCAGGACCAACAGCATGACCGGCAAACATGTTTCACATACTCCGATGGCAATGATACATGTGGTGCACGCAATGTAATATTCAGCATCGTCGTCGTCGTCGTCGCAAAAATCGTGGCAATAGCAACAGTAACGCCAAATTGCAAGACCAGTAATGATGCCACTCACAGCCTTCAGGCTAGGAGTTCGAGGTGATGGTACCGCTAGTAACAAATACCATAACTAGGCTGGTCCGTCAAAGCCTCTGAAATTGTTCGTAAATAAGATTGAAAAGTCGTAAGTAAGATCCAACCCAAGATATCCCAAACGCCTGCGTAGATGTGGTTGAGATGCCGCGATCTTATGCACGCTCATGCCCGCAAAACTGGCGAAGCATGCCAACCGCCATCGGACGAACGGCCGGAGTCGTCCCGTGCCCCGAGGGTCATCGCACCCAGAGAAGTCCCACAAGGGTTTTGCTGCCAGAGGCGATGAGCTCTGAAACTTCGTATGCAAACATTTAAATGTAAAATCTCTCGCCCGCTCACAAGATGCACGATGCCAGGTGTAGGCGGATGCGAACTTGGCAAACGACGGAAAGCACAAATCAATTTGAGAACGTCCCACGAGGAGGCCGCTTGGCAAACAAAGGACACCAGACAAAGACCAGCTGCTGGTTTGTAGCTCGCTGCCCTCCACGGTGAGCCAGCGCTGGGAAGCCTCGCTGGGCGCTTGCCGCACATCTCTTTGCAAACGACGTGAAGCCCGGGATTCAAGGTGTAGGATTGGGATCGGGAGGCTAGGGCTATCCCTATAATATCGGGGCCTTAATAATTAGAATAGGGTTTTGCGGCCGATTCTACTATGACTATAATAAGGAACCCCCAAAATAGTATAGGTAATTATTTAGGCCCCTACGTCATACCCAAAGCCCCAAGAGGTTTGGGGTCCAGAGAGTTTGGAAAAGGCCGCCTGAGATGGTGAAGGGACCCTAAACTTCAACCCCACGATGAAGCCCTACTTGGAGGGTCGGGGACGTGGTAAGTAGTAGACAAGAAGTAGAGTTATAAGAGCCCTAAAAGGGATCCTAGTTGGGGTTATGTTACCTATAAGTCTGTAAAATAACTAGTTACTAAGTCCCCCGACCCTCCAAGTACAGCTTGGAACCGGTGGGTCGTGCCCTCATGCCTTGGGCTGGCCAAGAAAGTCACTACATCGCTGTCTTCGGGTTTTGTCTGTAGGACTTGCTGCGGAAATCTTCATCAGCTCTCAGTGCTGAGACAGCCCCTTCGCCCCAGAACTGAACACCAACATGCCAAATCCTACGCGACAGCCCCGCAACCGTAAACCCTAACTGCAAACCCAGCACCCAAAACACATAACCCCAAACCCCTAACCCAGAGAGCCCAAAACCCCTTAAATAAGGAATATAGCTTAAACCATACTATGAAGCCCCTCCATAATTTAAGGTCTATTCCTTAATTAAGGGGTATGGGGCTCTCTGGGAACAACCCTAAACCCTAAACCCTAAACCCGAAACCCAAAACCCTAAACCCTAAACCCGAATCCGGCGCCTTGCTCGCCAGGCGGAAGGTACCGTCCGGTGGCCGCACGTTGATCTGCACGTGAAGCCTCTTCCAGAACCTCGGTGTTGCGGCGTCTGGTTAAAGGAAACTACAGGTGGTGGGGTTTAGGGTTTCGGGTTTCGGGTTTAGGGGTTTAGGGTTTAGGGTTTAGGAAACTACAGGTGGGGAGTTTAGTGTATATAGGAGTTTAGGGGTTTAGGGTTTAGACTTATGGGATTATTGGGTTATAGGGTTTAGGGTTTGAGGGTGATAGGGCCTCTATCAGGCTTCTATAAGGGTTTAGGGTATATAGACCTCCTATAAGGCTCCTATAACGGTAACTACCCAGCTGAAAATGTCGTACGTCTGGCTTGCCTGGGACTCCAAATATTTTTGCTAAGGAATACCTTCCTAAAGCCCTAAACCCTAAAACCCTAAACCCTAAACGCTAAAACCCTAAAGCCCTAAACCCCAAAACCCTAAAACCCTAAACCCTTTTATTTAAGAAATCTACCACAGATCACGGTTAAGAATCCTCCTTATAGCTTAAGGTATATGATTCGGTTAAAGGGACCCTAAACCCGAAACCCCTAAACCCCTAAACCCTATATACCCTAAACCCTAAACCCCTAAACCCTATATACCCAAAACCGTAAATCCTAAACCCCTAACCCTATATACCCTATATACCCTAAAGCCTAACCCCCCCCCCCCCACCTTTATAGGGCTTTGGAGGCTCGGGCTTTCCAAAACCCTTGACAAGCTTGAAGGCTCAATTGTCAAGGGACTAAAGGAGGGACCCTTAAAGGGACCCTCGGGGTTATATAGGGGCTTCATGAGACTATATAAGGGTTATATCGGGTATTTGGATTAGGGGTCCCTTCTAGGGGTCCCTCCTATTGTCCCTTAAAGTTGTCGGTTGAACCGTCGACGGGACAACCTACAAACCCTGACAGAACCAATTCGCGATTCTTTCCTGTCGCCTAAATCCCAGGATAAGCTTTAGGGTTTAGGGCCCTGAGCCCTAAACCCTGAACCCTAAACTCTAAACCCCAATCCCTAAACCCTACACGTCGGGCCTTGAATGGATCTCAGACAGGGCACAGCTCGTCATGGTTGGTTCCCCAGTTGTTGCGCAGTTGCAACTGCCCCTCCTGCGTCCCCCATAGAGCCGAATGAATACCTCTTACTGAAGGAGTATAGCTTAAATCATAATATGACGTCCTCTATAGTTTAAAGTTTAAGGTATATACCTTTATTAAGGGGTATTGGGCTCGGCATCAACAGCGTGACGGCCATGAGTGAAACATTGCAGTAGGCTTGCGAACAAACACAAGGCAACAAACAAACGCCGTGCCATGAATCCACCTGACCCCTAGCTCCTCCGTGCAAGCAATGCACAGACCCGAGGCCACGTGCTTCAGTCGAAAAGGTCGGTAAGTGCCTTGAACAAGAAACACCGTGGTTTACGATGGAGAGCTTGACGGTCTGTTTGTGGAACGGCCTTAAAGATTTCAATTCTTGTCCCTTCGAAGTATGTACTGCGCGAAAACAGCCATGCTCAGGACTGGCCTGGCTCATTGTTTAGACTCATCGCAGCAAGCGTCAACACCCTCAGCCCGAGACTGCCGACGGTCCCAATGCTCAAGGTGCCGGAATCCCTAATCCCGATGAGGAGGGCCGAACACAGTACATGAAAGTCACATAGCGAGAACTCTTTCAGCGGCAGTGACGAAAGTGTTCAGAATTCTTTCAGCCATAGTCCTAATTGTGGTTTGGTTCTCTTTCCAAGATAGAAACAGGCTGCGTTGGGTTGAATAGCAAGTGCGGTCTTACAACAAATGGTGCAGGGTGCCAAGTTACGGGGCATAGGCAGTGGCTACGTGTTTGACACCCTAAACCCTAAACCCTAAACTCTAAACTCTAAACCCTAAACACCACAGGCTTCCTCTGGTCGGACTGAAACAGAACAAACCTTGCACATGGGTGAATCTCAAACACGATGGCCCCACACATGTGGTGCCATGATGACAGGCGCTACCCGTCCACCTTGACCGCGAACCCTTGAAAAATGTAAACCCTGAACCCTGAACGAAACCGGAACCCGAATCCCCACACTCTAAACCCTGAAACCCCGAAACCCGATTCCATAAACCGTGTAGAACCCCTTCTAGAAAACCGTACAGGAAGCCTCAAAAGAAAGCTTGAGAGGAACTTTCCAAATCCTGGTAGCGGCCGGATGGCGGGCAAAGTTCCTCGGCAGGCAAACGTGGATGATCCAAGCAAACTCCGCCTCGATATGAAGCATCTCATCCGAGTCACCTTGATTCTTTGCAAGGGTTAGGGTTTCGCTATGAGGTTTTTGCACCTTGGTTCTTTGCAAGGGTTTGGGCTGCGCTATGAGGGTTTTTGGGACACCTCTTTTCCTTCCGCCGTGTTCGGGGTTTGAATGCCGCTGTGGTTGAGGCGGGTTTTCGGAGACCGAAAGTCAGGGGATCGACCACCTATGACCAGACTGGCTCATATGTTCCGTGTCTCGAACTGCCTCCTCGCTCGGCTGCATGAGTTCATCAATAGTGCGCTCGAAGTCTGCCTTCGAGGTCAGTATATCGCATCTCCATGGTCAAGGATGCGCAAAGCAGGCGCGAAGCTCGCCACTCGTTTACGACACGAACGCCGCGCAACCTTGTCCTTGCATGGTAGCATCAGCTTCGGGCACACTGCAATCCGAGCATGCATGGGTTGTTCCAATGCGCCGGCCCCGGCTTCGGTCACTTGGTCATGTGACTGTCGCAGTATCTGTCAGGTTGTCACATCCAGGAGTGCATGCCGCCGCAACCTTTGCGTGCTGTTCCGGCCGCAGCACGTGCTGGGACAGGCAGCGGCTCGCGTGAGCAGCGATGCCAATTATGTGTTGCCGGCCGATCACTTCCGCTCTGACGGTCGCAGCAACCGTTGCTTGCCTGCCCAGGAGTTGGCCTTGTTCTCCGATTGACCTCGCGCAGGTCCTTCAGTTTTTGAGGCGCTGCCTGCAGGTATGAATGCTCCGCATCCTGCAGGGCACGGTGCGAGAATTCCCGCCTCGCCGTTGCTTCGCTTCTCCTCCTCGCGAAGCTTGGCGTATTCCTGCTTCTTCTGCAGCCGGCGTTGTGGTTGGCTTGTTTTTTGAAAGGTTTTTCGGCGTGCCAGTGGACAAATCTATTTCGGAGGCCCCTGGTATTTCATCGGAGCCACTAAATGATTTATACGGGCTTCGTAAGGGCGGGTTTGAAGCGCGGCCTAAGTCCGAGTTCAGGGTTTAGGGTTTATATAGGTTTCATACGGAGATTGTAGGGTTCTACAAGGCATGAAAGGTTACACTGAGGGTGTATCTCATCCGAGTCACCCTACGGTTTCAGGGCTCTACGAGAGCTTCTAAGGGTATGAAGTATTCGAGCTAGGGCAACCCTTTTGAGGTCCCAGGCTTAAGTTTTACATTCCGAGTGTTTCCAGTGTTTCGGATGTCTAGGGTTTTTGATTTTTGATTGGTAGGGCTGAATATTTAGGGCTTTGCCTGTTTAGAACAGCCGGGGTTCAGGGTTTGCCTAGTTTTTGCCATTGAATCTTGAGGCACACCATCATCTCACGACTCAGCAGTTTGACTAATGGACAAACCGGGGGCAAGGAGGGGGAGGGAGAATTCAGCCAGATGCTCTATCCGGAGCATGCAGAGCCTTTTCAAATTCGAGTTACCGGCCACAGATTGATGACGAAACGATGCATCTTCCAACCTAGAACCATCCAAAACAACCCTGCTACATGGGCTGGGCTTTGTCAAGGCAGAACGCGTGCAATCGGTGCAACCAACAACCGCAAGCGTTTGAAACAATGACCTGCACACAAGCACACACTTACAACGTTCACATGGGGACACACACACACACACATGCTTTCTCTTACTCCCCCAATAAGCCGGGGAAACAGAAGGTTAAACTTTCAGATCACTACTAAATTATAAGAACCCAAAAAATTTAAAGGTTGGGTATTGGGGAACTAAGTCCTGTTCGTAATCTTTACCCTGCTAAACCCTAAACCCTAAACCCTAAACCCTAAACCCTAAACCCTAAACCCCAAACCCTAAACCCTCGCCGCTCGGTATCTGAGACCCCAGGCTCTCTGCGCGGTACGGCATACTTGCAAACTCCTCGAAGCCCATCTCCAGGATGCCCTGGTTGGAAAGCTTAGGGTTTTTGTAGGGCTTAGGGGTTTAAGGTTTAGGGCCTAGGGGTTTAGGGCTTAGGGTTTAGGGTTTAGGGCTTGGGGGTTTAGGGTTTTGGGTTTAGGGCTTCCGGGTTTAGGGTTTAGGGCTTAGGGGTTTAGGGTTTAGGGTTTAGCTGCCTACCTACCTCGGGTGTAGGGCCTAGGGTTTAGGGTTTGGAGGTTAGATTAGGGCTTTGGGTTTAGGCCCTGGTCGGAAGAGGATGACAAGTTCGGACGTGACTGGATCATGCACCAGGGCGCACCAGATCTGAACCCCTAAACCCAAAATCGCAGCCCCGAACGAACCCTAAACCCAAACCCAAAACACCAAACCCTGAACTCTAAACCCGGAACCCTAAACCCCAAACCATCCTGACTCGCATCGTAGAGTGGCACCAGGAGGAGTTTGCCTCGGCGAGGGGTTTAGGATTTAGGGTTGGGGATCGAGATCATCGTCGCTCAGCTACAGCAGTCTTCACTTGTACTCTTAAGGTGGGTATGGTTTGGGGTAGGTTCCTTCTTTAATACTACAAAAATCCCACTGCCAAAACACCTAGCCCCTAAACCCTAAACCCTAAACCCTAAACCCTAAACCCTAAACCCTAAACCCTAAACCGAGCAAATACACCAAGCTTAGCAGACTTCCTGGGCTCGCCTGGTTCGCCTCAAGGTTTAAGCGGCGGCAAGTTTTAGGGTTTAGGGTTTAGGGTTTAGGGTCTAGGGGTTCTAGGTAACCCTAAACCCTAAACCCTAAACCCTAAACCCTAAACCCTAGGAAACCCTAAACCCTAAATTTGGGTATTGGCTTAGGGTGCTGGGCCAAGTAGTGAAGTCCGAAGCTGCTTGGGCTCTAGGGTTTAGGGTTTAGGGTTTAGGGTTTCCTAGGGTTTAGGGTTTAGGGTTGAGGGTTTAGGGTTTAGGGCTTAGGGTTTAGGGTTTAGGGTTTAGGGTTTAGGGTTTAGGGTAGCTTGCAGCTGTCATCCGAGAGCAGCGGCGAGAAAGCAGCGACTCGATGCTCATGAGTTTACGATATTTAGGTTTAGGGTTTAGGGTTTAGGGTTTAGGGTTTAAGGTTTAAGGTTTAGGGTCTTAAGATTTCGGTATTCTGCCTGAGGTTGGGGGTTTACATGGGAGGACAAAAGCTCGGAATGGCTAAAGCTACTGAGTCCCAGTGTCAAGTGTGCCGGTAGCCACGGCAGGAATCCAGGGCATACCTGAGCGGAAAGAAGCAGAACAGAACCCTGTCCCCGTAAACCTCTAAACCCTAAACCTTCTTGTAAATCTCGAAACCCCAAAAGCGTCAGCCCTAAACCCTAAACCCTACACCCTAAACCCTAAAACCTGGACAGCTCATCCCCAATCCTCGATGGCTTGCTCTGGGTTCATCTCTAGGAAGCCCTCAGTGCCCGCGACTCCACACCGCAAGGCGTCTACCAAGGGTCCTCTACACAAGCAGTTAGGGTTTAGGGTTTATTAGGGTTTATTAGGGTTTATTAGGGTTTATTAGGGTTTATCAGGGTTTATTAGGGTTTTTTTAGGGTTTATTAGGGTTTATTAGGGTCTAATAGGGTTTATTAGGGTTCATTAGGGTTTAGGGTGACAGTGAGATGGACACATACATGAATACATAAATCAATACATCAATGAAGGTCAATAACTCAAGCAAACAAGCAACCAAGCAACAACCAACCATCCAATCCCATCCAACCATCCAATCCCATCCAATCCAATTCAATCCATCCATCCAATCCAATCCAATCCATCCATCCATGCATCCAACCATCAATCCATGCATCCATCCAACCCAACCCAACCCAACCCAACC